AAAAATTAGTTTTTTCACAATGCTTATGTGTTTGTATGACTGAAATAGCACAGTTTACACATTTTACGAAAATCCTCTAAAGTGTGGCCACGCTGAGGTATACGTGAGATTTCATGACAGCTGATGGCACTACTCAACTGCGATAGCGATGCACATGCTAGATTAGAAAGCTCATTATGAGTGGTAATTTCGTTATTATTCTGATTTGCATTTGCAGCTTGTTTTGATTTCATCAGTTTATAGTTGTCATTTAATGCTAACAAACGAGAAATCTAGTGTATAATCAGATTTTTTTACCTGGAAATCCCATAAATGAAGTGCTTTCGTGAGATAGGTTTAAAGAATGCACTTTTAAAAAAACGATGGCTACAATTAGGGCTTCTGGGCTAGCTATCAACTATATAGAGCTTAGTTAAACTGTGAAATGCTTAGTCTTGATCCGTACGATTCAGCAAATCCCTTCATTCTACGCACAACTATATAGTTGAAGATTAAGCGAGAATGCTTTGAGAAAATATGTAGGAGAAGTTTTTTTTAGTATTTTAAGCCTTGAGATTACATATTAAGTAACAATACTTAAAAAATATGCAGTTCAAGAAATAAATAATATTAATACATGAAATAACCCTCCAATAGCTAAGTCGGATAAAATATTTTAAGAAATTTAGGTACCATCTGCTCTCAGAGAGATTGAGCGAAATAATAACATATTTTCAGAGATTAGATTAAGGTAATCGCCATGCATGCTATAACACATGGATCGGGAAGAAACCATGGCAGTTAGGTTTTGAATTTCAGCAACATTTGAACATCAGTTGGCTTAGTCCTGGAGACTTGCTGGACCTTAGAGTGATCAATATGATTAGTGCGTTCATTATCTATGGCATTGTGTACAAAAAACACCAATAACGTATCAAATCCAAAGGCACGGTTTCTTATAAAAGTCGAATATTCGGAACAGCTATTGTGCATGTTAGGTCTTTACTTGTTGGGAGTCAAGACGACTTTCCTCCTAAAAAGTCGTAAACCTACCCCTTAAGATTATTCAATTGAATCAGCTCAAGAATCAGTATTTTTAGCTTTTTTTTTCTAGATTCATGGCTTAAAGTGAATTACGCTAGTTTTACAACTTTTCAACTTTATTGAGGCCTTGTCCCTTTATCACTGGCTCGGGGAATAATCTTGCTAGTCTATCTATGCGCCTCTCGAGCCCCAACCAGGCACCGACCGCCACCTTGCCGCTCAAATCTCAAACGAAAGAAGTTGTATAAATGAAAAAAAGTGTTTGAGGAAAAAAAAGTTTAATGAAAGTGTGTCCTCGTTGGCGCTCCCCTTTATGCACTTTCCTTTGAGTTTAATCAACTTCTTATAGAATTTGGTATAAATGGGTCAGAGTCAAAGTACAAGTTTCGGCCTAAAAACTTTTATTTACTGAATTTTGAATTGACGTGATTGCAAGATTC